AGTGAGGGAGACGCGTAAGAGGAAATGTCCTATTTATGTGCGTCTCTTCCTCCGTCGACTAAGGGTAGGCTACGCATCCACTATTGCGAATGTCTATATGCAGCGGTCGCTTCGCCATTTTGGCGGATTCAGATGGCCGCTTGTTAATTGGACACCTTATAATTTAAAAATAATCTTAATTATATTTTTAATATAAAAAGTACGTTATTGTTTGTTCTGCTGCAAGGTTGTGTATACTGTGCGCTCATTAGCGTGGGCAACGAGCCCAAATAATAATGGGCGACACGGCGCTGTTGAGCCTGTATTCGACTAATTATCACGACGGCGTACAGCGTAACTTGAACCCAACTAATTATTGATAGTGGGTGTCAAGTGTTCTGAATATATTTCAATTAAAAATTCTATGTGATGCCATGCGAAATAAGTTTTAATTCCATATTTTTTATGGTACCTATAGGTAACCAACCATAGTTCACCCGTAGTCCCCTTATAAAGAAGCCACACCTTTAACTAAACTATACCACAACTGTTTTGCGATTGCCGATTGTTTCGCAGCCCATTCAACTGTTTAGTTAGTAAAATCGAGTAGTGTGCACACCTCCATATAAGTAAGGAATCAAAGCTAAATAGTTGTGCGATAGTTTAGTTTCAGGTTTGCACCCTCTAACCTAACAGACTTGGCTGATCTTACTGTTTTATGCAACTAAAGAGAGGGTTGTAATTTATAAATAATTAGAATACAGAAGTCTTTATCTTTAAATCGCATGACATCTAAATTATTCTTGCAAAGGACAGTAAAAAAGCAGAATAACAAACTAACAGACTCTTAGATAACAGATAACACACCTTCCAATCGTATACAGCAACGATACTAAGATAAAAGTAACCATCAGATCGATGTTAAGTGTAATGATTTACATAAAATACAGCGCAAATGCAAATTCGATACTCTCCTACTTCGTTATTCTTCCTTAACACCATGTTTATGGTTATAGAGTTCCCGAATGTTCGCTACTTCGAAATGGAATGACGTATTCGAAGCTTTATCATAATGAGATTGTGAAGGTGAAAATAGATACATATTGTGATATACCTATTTGTATAGATACTAGAAACTAAGCATTATGGTTTGAGGTTAGAAATATTAGGGTGTGCACACACTAACCGTTGTTTGGATCACGGTTAAGGTGCGTTCTCAATAACTTTTATAAGACCACCGTTTCTATTTCTAATGTCCTAGTATTTTTATATTTCATTGTAGACACGGGAAAAACAATTATTTATAGTCCTCATGAAACGTTAATATATGACGTGGGCCTCGCCAAAAAAAGATCTACAATATTTAGGAGGAAGCTGCCCCTTCTTTTGATAATTATTTTGTATGTAGAAATAACACGAGTTTCGTTTGCCATTGACTTAAAAATAACACATTAAGTATATTTCACAGAAATCTTTCTAATATACTTTAGAAGCTCACATAATCGCGTTTGAATAAACAAATGAGGCTGCATCAAACGGAAGGGGAAGACATAAAAACTGAACCCGCGATAGCAAAGTTATGTTACAAAGAGATAGCAGACGTAACGCCGACGTTATTTATGTGCTGAGGGCTGGTGGAGCAAATTATATTATGTAATGTCCATATAATTGTTTAAAATTTAATCATATTAAAGAATAATTAGTTAACTTACAAACTAAGTGAAAGCTTTATAAAATCCGTCTTTGTTCTATTCCAAATTCGAATTTTCACCATAGACAAAACTGAGATTTTTTAACAAAACAACTGAAAGTATAAAACAGCTACAGTCACCATTGACTTTTTTGTTTGTAAATTCAGGATATCATAATAACGCAATAATCAAACCCGTGAACAAAGAAGGAATCCATGCCTAGTGGTAACTATAATTACAACAAAAGGACGAGTAATACTACGGTTTAATAAACCCTATCACACATAAAACTACCCAATTACAGTAAAAAGCCGGTTTAATTCGCAATTACCCTTCGCAATGTGGTGTGACTAGGCAGATTTCTTCGATGATGTAGCGATACAAGCTCTGACAAGTTTACCGCCCGCCATTAATCACCGCGCCCAACTCCGAGGTGGTGTTGACATCTTGCCAACACACGCCGCCATTTAATTTGGCGCGCATTTTTTACAGTCTATGGAAACCATAAATCATTAAAGGGCTATGACACATTTTTTACTAATTTGTTTTTTTAGATACATGACTTCGATAAGGTAGTTTGCCTAAGTAAAATGAATTAGATCACGGGAAAGGCAACTCAAATAACTAGAAATAATTTCCTCTATCATGTCATCTGACCCGATAGAAAGTACCTTTGAGTTAACAGTTATTTCGCTGGTCATTCAATTAATTCTCTAGAGAATGATTAGTGTTTACCGATAGTTACAAAGCTTCTATTTGTCTGTTGATTCTCACAATAACGTTCCCTCTACTATCATTAGGGACGACTAGTATTAAACTCTATCGTATAGGGTTTTTTACAACAACTTTCGTTTACTACAACGATTTTTTTAACAGATAATCATCCTAAAATAATAAATGCGAAAGCTTAGATGGATGAATGGATGTTTGTTACGAGTCTGTAGCCTAAATCAATTTGTCATTGACGTAGAATATAATCTGGAAGAACACATAGGCTACTTGCTTTTGTTTTTTTTGTTTTGTTTTTAAAATATTATTATTATTTTCTCCTAATTTTATTTAAATTCATGGTCTTAATATATGAATGTCCAACTGGCCAGTTATTCACAATAAAATGTCGTATATGAGAGGCTAATGCGGCAGGAGCCCCGGCCGCGGCAAATGCGCCGCCATTACGCGGGAAAAGGGAAACTATAAAGCATCAGGGGGCGTTCGATAAGCCCTAATGTGGCGTTGAGCTGTTACACTGTTATCGGGATGGTAATGCAAATTTTATGCATTTGACACTCGTATGCAGTCCACCATTATAGTTTCACACGCGGGTAGCAGAGTGACAAAATTAGGACAGAACGGTACTGCTATTCCGTACCTTATTTCAACAGCGACAAGGAATGGACTCTGTCTCCTTTATAGGAACCCGTCTTAAAAAACGTGTCGCGACACAACAATGCTGAAGGTGTCGTTTTCATTTAATTATAGTATTGATATTGTTTACACACAAACAGTTGTCCTCAAAGTTTTCAGTAGATTCACAAATAAATTTTCACTATTTGTCTTAACTAGTGTAACTCTACTACATATATCCTGTTTTCCGTTTACGTACTATTAGACAACTTATTTAATTGATACTGTCGCTTTTAACTTAGAGCAATACTTCTCGTCAAGACTCAAGTTACGCGCCAATCTATCCATACTTCTAGTGACATTGACAGCTGTCAGCTAGGGACATGCCGTTTATGCCGATAATCCAGAGTTGCGCCAATTCTATAGCACGGTACTAATTTTATTCCTAACAGTACAAATAATAACACTTGTACTGTCTACGACTTTGACTCAAAAATATAATATTCCGCCCTCATGTGAAACTGACATTAAATAGGTAAAGAAAAATATTATCATATTAATTTATAACTAACCTGTGTATAAAACGAAAGAATTTCAACTTCAACGGTGTTAAATTTTATATCTTTAGTTTGCTATATATGACTTGCCCACGCTTGCAAATATCGAAGCTTTGTCATATCAAAATATGACTTTTTTATTATTTTCTTTTCATTCCTGATTTCATAACGACTTCAAACGTAAACTGACAAAGGATCATGATCAGAAACAACTTTGAATGTAACAAAATAAGGCAACAAGATCCTGTTCGTTACGTATATAGCCGCAAAACATATCTCCTTTCCAGTTGAATGGAATATTACACAGGTAGAGTGGTAACCGCGGATATCTTATCTGGCAACGCTAAAAATAAATATATCTGCTTTAAGAAAACAAATAAAATACACATATTACAAATTGGCACATTGGTTGCATGTATTTCTAGGTGTAGTTTTAGATTCTTTCTTGAATATTGAATTATTGGAGTTGATTAAAAAAAATAATTGCATATAGAAAGACTGAGGCAAATGCTGTGGCATCCAAAGCATTTAATTTTTACAAATTGACGGTTAAATTTACAACAAGAATACTTTAAAAAAATCATAGATTACTGAAAAATAAATATATACTAGTATGAAGACTGCAATAAAGAAGATAAATAAACAACGAGACATCGCCTTCCATGTTTCATGGCTCTGCTTAACCACTTTTATTCTTGTTGTGTCGTTGCCTGGAGTTTGCCTCATTTTAAGGATTAAATGGTCCTGTTCTGTTAATTTATTTTTTTTATTTTATTAGTTAATTTAGTTTTGATGTTTTTGGTATATTTAGATAAAACTAAAGGACAATTGTCGTACATTTGCTAATTTTTATCTAAAATGTAAATATTATTTTCAATAAGATAATTTTTGACACTGACAAAATACGATGTTACCGAAAATCAAACTCGATTAACAATTAATGTCATAAGAAATATCGATATTAGTGGGGCAACATTTCTTTTATTTATGCAACAGTGATTTTAACTTAAAATATTTTAAACCCATACATTACTTTTAACTGCTATACATTTTTTCATTTTCCAATTGTTTTGTTTTGTTTTTTTTTTGTTGCAAAACATCGATTTTCAATATCTTCCTCGTCTATAATGTTCGTAAGATACGGGTTTCTTACCACGATTGAATTGTTTTAGCTCCCGATATTTCGGCACAGTTGCATGCGCCATGTCAGTCAGCCCGTGAACATGGCGCATGCAACTGTGCCGAAATATCGGGAGCTAAAACAATTCAATCGTGGTAAGAAACTCGTATCTTACGAACATTATATTTGTAAAAACCACGACAGTTTAAAGTTATATATCTTCCTCGTCTATTCTATAACTACTCTTTGAACCGACACATGGGACTTAATCTTTGTTTTTTGGTTCTGTCATTGTCATCATTTGTCAGTTTGGAATGTTTTGTAAACATTAGACAAAATAGAAACATAGATATAGTATTAAGAGTTTCCACACAAAAAAATATATGTTATAAATAAAACATGCCTAGGAAGCCATGTTATTGGACGCGCAAATTGGAGTTAGAATTGGTTGAATTTGTTCGCCAAAGAGAATTTATATGGAAACCATTTAATAACACGAATCATCAAATTCAACAAAAATATAAAGCATACGCCGAGTTTGCTGCAAAATTGGGTCGGGGTTACTCTGGTAAATCATTAATTTATCCACATACCTAATATAGTAGTCTCTTATTTAAGATTTGTATTAAATTGCAATTAAAATACAAATTACAGCACGATCAGTCAGAGATCGCTGGGTTAATATTAGAAGTACTTTCAACCATAATCTTCGACGTGTGGACAAGTCAAAAGAAACTGCAACATCACCTGCTGAAGTGTATGTACCTTGCTGGCCGTTATGGAAGCCATTGCAATTTTTACGCGAGGTTCCAAAAAGAGAAGATGTAAATTTTGAGGTGCGTTTTTACTAACAATTAATTTGTTTTTAAATTGACCTATCGTTGAGACCTGCCAAACATTACCATTACAGTTAAAAACATGGTCATACTTTCTCCTTCTTTCTCTAGTTTTGCATGTGATCTTTTAACACCTTAGGTGCTATGTGTATCTTTTTTCACACAGTGTCTAGAACACTATGTATGTGGCTTGAGAGATATGAATTTCAAGTGAACTATTTCCCAACCCACATGTATCTAAATGTCACACGGATAAAAATCCAAGGAAAAAAGGGGTAAAAGTGGGTGAAAAACAATATATAATATGTTATGTAGTTTTAAACACATTCCAACAAAAAAAATTTGTTTTTTTTAAATGCTCACTTAGGGTCTGGCGCTGAGGGTGTTAAATATTTGATGAAAGAAAAATGTTAGAATTTTGTAAATGACTTGTCCAATTTAAAACTATGTTATAAAAATATGAATTTTATTTTCAGAATTATCCATCAATGCAACCGGAATTATCAAGTTTAGATAACATAGAGATGAAAGAAGAATCACAGTCAGACATGGAAGAGATAAAGCTAGGTATCAGGCAGCGAGGGAAACGAACAGATAGACCTAGACGACAATTCAAAACACCTACTATGAGAATCAAGAAAAACAAATGTGTCAGCTTTATTGACAATCTTCTTATAGCTATGAAACCTATTTCAGAACCATCTGACATGCAGTATTGGTTCTTCGGAAGACATGTGACTGAAAGACTGAATTCTATGAGAGATATAGATGCATCTAGTGCTAGTAAAGAAATAATAGCATATCTAAATCAATGTAGATCTTTAAATGACAGTGATATTAAAAGTGAAGGTACTTTGGAATAAAATTAGTGTACTGTACAAGAATCTAGTCTAAAGAGATTAGTCACAGTGGTTGAGTTGAATGGACTTGTAATCTACAAATAAAGATTTGATCTATGATTTTAAAAGAACATTTAAATATATAGGCTAGATGTAGGGAACAACATTATTTCACCGGTAACTTCTTTGAAAGGTACAATGTTGTCAAGTTTTATATATCAACTCCTGACCTTATATTTTTTTTTAATAATAAAAGTGGGCAAACGAGCGGCGTGAACACCAAGGTGGTTAACGACGCCCATGGACATCCGCAACACCAGAGGAACTACAGTTGCATAGCCGGCCTTTGAGGAAATGATAGGCTCGCTTCTTGAAGGACCCTAAGTCGTATTGGTTTGGAAATACCGCCGAGGACAGACCGTTCCACAACGCGGCAGTGTGGGGCAGAAAGTTCCGCCAAAACCGCACGGTTGTGGAATGCCAGCCATCGAGATGGTGAGGATGGTACCTGGCGGTCTGTCGTATCGTCCGATGACGAAACTCAGCGGCAGGAATTGTTCCAAACAGCTCTATTGCCATGTTTAAAACAATTTTACAAAATAATAATAAGCTCCATCTTTGTTATAAAATAAATTAAACAGTGTCACAAAAAAAGTAACAGTAACTTAACAGTAGTAGTGCCCGCTTTAACATGTTAGCACTGCAGAGCCGGCACGCCCGGTGTAATACCACGACCACACAGAAGACAGGCGTGAAGTGGAAGCAATTCCGTGTTTCGTCTCATGAGTGCGGTGCCAGAGGCCTAATTTAAGTCTTTACCACCCTTTTCTTACAAGAAGAGGTTGGGAAGAGGAAGTGGATTTAACGGTGGAGGAGCTGCATAGGAAGGGAAATATCCTCTCTATGTGCATCACCTCCTCCGTCCTATAAGGGTAGGCAACGCATCTGCAATTGCGGATGTCTATGGGCAGCGGTCGCTTCGCCTTTTTGGCGGGTTCAGGTGGCCGCTTGCTCGTTTGCCGCCATATGTTATAAAAAAAAAAAAAAATTAAGTATGATTAATTATATTGACATGTGGTTTTTAACCTATCAATGTGGAAATTGTCTCAAGCAAAGAGTACTATAATATACAGGCTGATTCTTAACGGATGGATCCACAGTTTTGTGTAGGTAAAGGACCTCAATAGCTCACTTGAGACATTCTGTATACAGAGTGATTCTTAACTGACGGATCAATGTGGTAGAGGACCTCAATAGCTATCATTTAAACGCAAAGTTTGTGGCCAAATAGTTTTAAACTAAATATCGAACAAAACTTTGCCTTTAAATAATAACTATTGAGGTCCTCTACCTTAAGAATCACTCTGTATATAGAATGTCTCAAGTGAAGTGTCAACTATGCTTCCTCTATATTTTTTTAATAACTTTGATTTCTATAAAAAATTTAATATGTGTTAAGTCAATTTGCAGTAATCCAGCTTTGACTATGACCTTTATGAATGTCAAATTAAAAACAGATTTCAAAAATATTTTTTTTAATAATTCAGAAGTATTTTATGTTTATTACTGGCCATTAAATCGTTGGTACAATCGTTTAATTGTGATGCCATAGCACATTCATCTTTATTCTTAGAACTGGCTTCAATACATTTATCAACATTTTTGTCTAGTTTCTTCAATAATTTTGTGTCACGTGCGAAGAATTTGCTCACCAGTAATATAAGGTTTCCTGTTGGATATGAATAAATAAAAAAAAAGTTATCTGTTAAAATTTTAAATCTAACCAAAATGGATGAATTATAAGAATAATTATGTATTAAGTAATTACGTATGCTTTATTGAGATAAATAATTACAATAAAACACTTTTCCAGGATGACAGCTCGTTTTATTATTATTGGTTGCCAACGCAACCAGTGTGGACATCACATTTATATTATGTAAATGTAATTGTTAAAATAAATTGTTTACTACATTTTTTTTTTACTTTTAAATATTCCCTAGTATATTACAGTATGGGAGCGTCGGTGGCTCAGTGGTTTTAGCACTTGACTTTTAATCTACAGGTCTTGGGTTCGATTCCCGAAATTCAATGATATGTGTGAAGTCAACCAACCCGCATTGGGCCAGCGTGGTTGACTATGGCCTAGTCACCCTAATTTGGGGTAGGCTCCGAGCCTCTCGGTGGGGACGTATAGTGGACTGGTGAAGATGATCCTAGTATATTTAGTTCATTTTTTAACTGTCAGCTAAACCCTATCCTTTCTCTTACCTTTAATAATTTTCCCGTTACTTATAACTCCATTACGTTTTAAAACACAAGCGATTAGACATTCGCCGTGTATTGGAGAGTCTTTCTTCGGTGATAATCTTCTCACTGTCTTCTTCTCTTTGGCCTCAACTTCTTTTAAACACTCTGTCATATTCTTTCTGAACTGTTCCACATGAGGGGAGACTTCGTTAGGGAACCCGCTGTACGACCAGTGTAGTTCTTTTTCTTCTTGCTTGCTTTTAGCTGGATTTAACAAAAGTATTAGTGACCGGATATGGTAAGCTTTTTTGATTTTCGACTATTATTATTATTTTTTTTTATAACATAAGGTGGCAAACGAGCAAGTGGCCATCAGAAACCTCCAAAATGGCGAAGCGACCGCTGCCCATAGACATCCGCAATTGCAGATGCGTTGCCTACCCTTCGACGGAGGAGGAGACGCACATAAAGAGGATATTCCTACTTCCTATGCATCTCCTCCACCGTCAAATCCACTTCCTCTTCCCAACCTCTCCTTATAAGAAAAGGGTGGTAAAGAGAAAGGGTCTTAAATTAGGCCTCCGGCACCACACTCATCAGACGAAACACGGAATTGCTTCCATTTCACGCCTGTCTTCTGTGTGGTCGTGGTATTACACCAGGCGTGCCGGCCCTGCAGTGCTAACATGTTAAAGCGGGCACTACCACTGTTGACCGACTTCCCAAAAGGAGATACTCAATTTGTGTGTATATTTTTTATATGTTATGCCATATCTCCGGACCAGGTGGACCGATTTTGATTTTATTTTTATTATATTTTTACAAATAAAATAGGGTGTTTTTAAAATCTCGTGATAAACTTAATTACCAACTTATGTAACGTAAGTAATAAGAAGTATACCATTTCGTCGATCTTTTCTCTCTAATTTCAAATTTCTTGTTATAACCGTATTCTTGTCTATTTTAACATCGTGTATCGCATCCATACCAATATACTCTTTTGTTTGGGTCTTACTTTTATCTTCATTGCCAACAACTGCTGCGAATAAAGCAAATAGAAACAGCCCCGAGTACTTCATTTTATGAAATGTTATAAAACTGGAGGAAATAAAAGTATGAAACGATAAATTAATTGCTTGTTAACGAATTTGATAAAGTTTTATGCTTTTATACGAGGAAAACCTAACTGAAATATTATTTTTTTTTGCCCTTTTTTTTTCTAACCAGTTACCTAACCGGTTAGGAAAAAATTGTTTGTTGTAGTTGTAAAAGAGGAATATTTTTTTCATTTTCGATCAAATCGATTTTGTGCTAGGGAAAAAAGAAAATCCCTTTTCCAACTAGTTACCAAACAAAAATCTTATAATAACTTTGGTTAGGAAAAAGGAACGAGGAATTTTTTTATTAATCGTAAATTGTAAACATTTTTAAGTTAATATGGGAATTAAAAAAACAACAACATAACCTTAAAATAATGTTGTATTTTATTTTACAAATTCAACTATATACAAAACATTTAGGAACAAAATAATTTGAACTATACAACTTATATAAAAGGTACAAAAGTTGAAATAAGTACAAGTAAAAAACTGACCCCTTTTTTGTTTTCAATAACATTTCAAAGTTTTTGCATTGTTCAATTATGTATGTTTTTTAAAATACTAATAATCGTTTAGTTAGTAATTTGAAATGGCAGCCAGATCATAATATAGGTAACTTATGATTAACAGTTATGAGTAAATATAATAAATTACAAACAAGAATGTGCATAAGCCGCCATATTGTGACGTCATAGCTCTTACGTCGGTAAAACAGCATCATTCGCCCGCATAACTACATGTGTCTTTCTTCCAACCAGAATATGAGTAACAATATGTTTTCAAGTGTCAGGTATAACTGAGGATCTAGCACGAAAATTTGCAATATAGTATTCGTAACGTCATTGCCAAATAGATTCAAGTTTTTACTACATTGTACCTTATATGGCGTTGCGCCAATCTTATATAAATGTCGATGTTACGAATGTATTCTCGCAATTTTTTGTGCTAGACCCCCAGTTATGACAATGAGCAACCCTTTGCGTAACGGCCGCGGTACTGGTGGCCTCCATCTTAATTTTTTTCATTATGCTTTTCTTGGTTTCTCATTTAAGTTTATACTATACATTGATTATATGAAAATATACAAACACATTTCTAATAGTTTAAAGCAAAATACGTCCGAAAGACATTTTGAATATTTCTAAAGTCATAAATTTCGCTTCACTAAAAAATTAAATGCAGTTAACCTTAAATAATATTTACACTTTTATTTACTTCATTAAAAATACTTTGTAGCATTTTTTTTTATAGCCTCTTTTCTAATTGGCTGGTGTTACCACATCTGAAAAGGAAAATCTTTATTTAATAAAATTACAAATACGTTTGAAATAAAAAAAAACAATAAAAAAAGGGTTTTTTTTATCATTTCATGCGGAAGGTGGATTGATGAAAAACGTCACTTTTTAAGCATATCTTCGTTAACACAATCCATACTTTAGTATATGAGTGTTGTATGATGTTGTATGATGGTGTATGATGGAGTATGATGTTGTATGATGGTGTATGATGTTGTATGATGGTGTATGATGTTGTATGATGGTGTATGATGGTGTATGATGTTGTATGATGGTGTATGATGTTGTATGATGTTGTATGATGTTATATGATGGTGTATGGGTGTGTGGGTGTGGGGGGCGTGTACCGGGCGTGGCGGGCGTGGTGGGCGCGCAGGCGGCGCAGAGCGGGGCGTGGCGCGGCGCGGCGAGCGCGGGCAGCGGCGCGCGCCGGCACACGCAGCGCGTGCACACGCAGCGCCCGCAGCCCCAGCAATGATGCTACACAGTGCACATACGTATACATAGTCATCCCTTTCATGCTCTCTCACAAGACAGAGACAGCATGAATTAATACGAATGTCACGTCAAAACTGTCATGTACAAAACCCTGTAGGATTGAGATAACATATTTCTACCTGAAGCGGTCTGACTAACTTTTGTGAAAAAGAATAAATAAATAAATGGACTAATATGTCTCATCATTCCTTACAATTTGTTGTGCTATGTCTATCTCACTCTCTCAAATATATAATGGGCGATAACGCCCCCACAGGGGCGTTTGAAACCTTTAGAGGGGCGTTATAGGGCCCCATAAAAAATTAGGGGTGTTGATATAGGTTAGAGGGGTCATGCATATTTGGTAATTTCATTTATTTTATATAGTATTTTAAATTGCACTGAAATTATATTAAAGGGGGTGCGCTGAAAGATTATTAATTTTCAAAGGGGGCGGTAAAAGAAATAAGTTTGAAATACACTGGTCTAAGATAACGTTTGTTACAATCAAGTAACTTTTTATTGTAAAAAAATAAAGTAGAAGTATTAGATGTTACCTTCCTGCTGTAGTGGTCTAGCGGCGTAGAGCAGCTGCACTCGGTGACGTTCTTGAGGCTCTTCCAGTCCAGCGCCACCGAGTGCACCTCGCTCTCCAGCGCCGCCAAACTGGCCGGCACTGAGTCCTCCACCCTCTGTACAACGTAACGTTAGTGGCGCTAGTGTGCTAGATATGTGACGCTATAGCACTTAAAACGTGGCGCTAAAATACTAAAATCATGGTACTAGTACGCCAGCGACGTGGGGATTTAGTCTGGGAGCGCTATAATGCTAATGATGTGGCGCTAGTAGGGTAAAAACATATCTCTGATGTGCTAAAAACGTGACATTATTGTACTACAAACATGGCGCTAGTGTGCTAAAAATGTGGCGCTAGTGTTCTAGAAAGTGGCGCTAATATGCTCGAAAGTGGCGCTAATGTGCTCGAAAGTGGCGCTAATGTGCCAGAAAGTGGCGCTAGTAGCGACATTGTTGAAAATTTCCTTCTTAAATTTAAATCAATTGAAATATGACGTAACAAAACTACATTTTCCATACCTCGGTGATAAGCGGTATGTTATTGGGCTTGTTCGCGGGCGCAGCTTCCTTGAGAGGGTGGTCGTGGTTAGCGCACTCTAGCTCCGAGAGGCCGCCACTGGACTCATATAGTAACCTAAAAATATTAATATACAAATTATTATACTGATTTAAAAACATTTAGAAATGGAAATAGAAAAAGATAGATAAATAGAAATAAATTTATTGAAAAACAAGAGATTAACAATTACAATAACAGTTATACCAACTAAAAGATAATTACAAATTGTGGTTAATATACGATTAATCTGGTGATGCCTACACTAGGCAATGCCTGTATCGTGGGCACCGAAAACAGCAAGAAAAATCTTTTACATTAATTACTAAAAACCTACGCTAATATATTGCTCCAGTATAAATGAAAAATAAATATGCAAGATGATATATGGCATATAAAATAAATAAATTTGAAGCATTATTTTATTTAACTAGTAAGTTTAATTTTTACTGTAATTTATATGGCTTCGATATTTTAGTTTTTTCTTTCTGTTGTGAAATGTACCAGAAAGGGAAAGCATTGGCTCCTTTAGCACAGGATTTCCTCGTTAAGGAGCTAAGACGATATCCTACAATCAATGGTTATGCGAAAAAGAATCTTTATTATTACTTTAGGAACAGCAATAAAGGTTTATTTTAATTATTTTATTATTAACAAGGGTAAAGATACTTACTTGTTGTCAATTTGCAGATTTTCAGTTTTAGTTTCAATGTCAACTGTGTCAATATTGCCGTTCTGATAATTGACAACTGCCGAGTCTTTCTCTCTGCTCTTCTCTTTTCTTCCTGATAGAAGATTCTTGAACGTCGAAATTCTCTATAAGAAATTAAGCAAAAAAATTACAATTGTATTGTAAAAATTGTTACACAAATAAACTCCCGTGGGCTGTGTTTTTGTTTACCCTATTTTGGCGTTTTTTGCCCTACTTTAGGGTTTTGTTTGCCCCACATTGGCGGGTTGTTTGCCCTACTTTAGCCTGTTGTTTGCTCTACTTTAACGTTTTGTTTGCCCCACATTGGCAGGATTTTTGCCCTACTTTAGCGTTATATTTGCCCTAGCATGGCATATTTTGCCTTACCTAGTGTGTTGTTTGCCCTACATTGTCATGTAGTTTGGCCTACTCCAGCGTGTAGTGTGCCTTAGCGTGTACCTTAGCGAGGTATGTGATGTGGTAGTCGAGTGCGGAGGCGTGCTGCACGGCGGCGGGCAGCAGGTCCGCGAGCGGCTCGCGCGGGTGTACGCCGCCCTCGTGCCGGCAGTACATGCCGCGCCAGAAACTGACAAAAATAGCAATTTACATATAATTCACACATATATAGGCGACAAATGCCCAAAATATATGTAAAAAATATTATTAAATTGCCTACAATCCTTACATACCACCTTTTGATAAGTATTCTCTTTGAAACGCATTTTTTTAGACTGTTGACCTGCCCCCTTTTTAACTTTCATCCACTACTAAATCATTGGAAAGCAAATATAAGCCGTTTAAATCTGTTTGAAGGTCAATGTCAGGTAATAAAGGTCAATGAAGAAATCTTGCTTTCGCCCGCGACTCTGTACGCGTGGAATTTAAAAAAGTAAGTAGCCTGCTCTTCCTGACTATCTATGACTCACCGAGATCATTTCATCAGCTTAGGCTACAAAACTCTAACATCCATCCATCTAAACTTTCGCATTTATAATATTAGTAAGATTATACATACCGTATGCTCTGCGCATTGAGGTCTGGTTTGAGCAGGTCGGGGTGCGCTTTGGGGTTGTAGAGGGGGTTCTTGTACTCGCTCAAGTGACTCGCCATGTAGCCCCACAGAGAGAACGTGCGCTCAGACAACCTACAAACAAAAAGTAATAATAAACCTTTAAAACGTCGCTAGTGTGTTAACAAAAGCACACTAGCGCCACTTAAGTGGAACTATTTATTTATGACTAGCTTTCGCTAGTGACTCCGCCCGCGTGGAATAAAAAAAAAACAAAAGTGAGTAAGTGTCTTCCAGACTATCCTCTACGTCTAAGTCAAATTTCATCGAGATCCGATCAGCCGTTTAGACTACAAAACTTTCGCATTTATAATATTAGTAAGATCTAATGGCGCTAGTGTGCTTTCTAAGGACACTATCGCCATTTCAATGGAAAGATTTATCTAATGGCGCTAGTGTGCTTTGTTATACACTAGCGCAAACAATAATCAACAACCAGCTAAAAACCACAAAGTACAAGGTATTATTATAATAACTTACCTGAGATCTCGTCTATCTTTCTGGCAGTTGCCAATAAATGTTCCATACTGGCAGGCGTGGGCGTGGTCGTGTAGCGTCAGCAAAAACCTCTCGTTAAACTGGAACGCCTGGAAGTTAAAATCTATTAAATACTCTTCCGCCACTTCGACAGCGCAGATTATAAAATATGTAGCCCATAATTTTAAAATCGGTCCAGTTAGTCCGAAGATCATACGGAACAAACGCTGCATTGAGGACATAAATATAAAAATAATGCTCTTAATGTTAACATGTCAGGTTCGCAAAATGCGAAATTTTAGATGGATGGATGGATAGATGTTTACTAGAAGGCATCTCCGGAACGGTTCAATGGATCGGGATATTGTTGTAGAACATAGTATGGTGGAACACATAGGGTTCTTTTTTTATTTCTAACAATCGAAGTTAAGGGCATAAACTAGTGTTACACAATAGATTTTCCAATTATATTATTCGTATAGATCAGTGATTCCAAAAGTGTGTGTGTGTGCATGTCAGCGTGCGCACCAGCGTGTTGAGAGCGTGCGTATTAGTTTGTGCGACTGGCGGTATGCTTGTCGGTGTGCGTGTCAAATTGTCCGCGCCTGTGTGTCTGTATGCGTGTCACTGTACTTACCAAAATGTCTGCGTGCGTGTCGGCATGCGTATCGAAGTATCTGCGTGTGTGTCAGTATGCATGCCGATGTGTCTGCGTATGTGTCGGTATGCGTGTCGAAGTGTCTGCGTGTGTCAGTATGCATGACGAAGTGTCTGCGTGTCGAAGTGTATGCGTGTCTGTCGGTATGCATGTCGAAGTATCTGCGTGTGTATCAGTATGCATGTCGAAGTGTCAGTGTGCATACCTGCGGCGCCTGGCGGAACAGCTGCCACGTGCAGTCGAGCAGCTGCGTGAAGACTGGCGCGCGCTCGCGGCCGTCGCCCGCCACGTGCGCGCAGCGCGCCGCGAACTTATGCCCGAACGACAACCAGTCCTTCTCTATCAGCGCCTGGAACACATCGTAATATATAAATACATTTTTTTTTTCAAATGGAAAGTATATGTAGTACAATCGACACGCTTTGTATCCGACCAAATATAAAATCGACATTTTCTTGAACCGGAAACAATTTTTTATCTCTTTCCACCCAAAATATTTTTATTTCAATACATGATCTTTCTTAAAACATGAATTTTAGTAGTTATAGTTTGTTAGAATTAAATGAATCCGTGTCATTATTTTATATCGATAGAAATTAAAAAACTTTTTCAAAAAATATCTTACATGATTAAAGTTACTAATATTATAAATACAAAAGTTTAGATGGTGCATGCTTGTTAAAATTTGTAGCCTAAACTGCTGAACCGATCTCAATTTAATTTGGCATAGAAGTAGAGGATAGTCTGGGATAACACAAAAGCTACTTAATTTTTTAAAACCCCCCGAGAACTAAGAACTGAGCTGAAAGCTAGTATAATATTAGTATTTTCAAAACTTTTTCATATTTAAATTTACATCTATGCTATTAAAAAGGAAAGTTTTGTATTTTTTTATAAGTAACTCAAGAACTACTCGATTGATTGATGCTACTGAAATTAGTTCTTCCACCATTAAAAAGCTCTCCGATAACGTATATCGGAGAAACATCATACTAATATTATAAATGCGAAAGTTTAGATGGATGGATGTTTGTTAGCGTTTGTAACCTAAACGGCTGAACGGATCTCCATGAAATTTGGCACAGGTTTAGAGCATAGTCTGGAAGAACACATAGGCTACTTATTATCCCGGGATAAATTACGGTTCCCGAGGGATTCATTAATTTAGTTTTTTAATGTTTACTCGATCATTCTGCAACAGTTCAACATATCTTATTGAAATTTGGCACAGATATAAAACAAAGTCTGGAGTATACATGGGATAAGCTTCATCCCTTAGGTGTCCGGTTCCCGAGGGAGTAGCTTTTTGTAATTTATATAGTTCGTATGTTTTCTAATACCACGCGGACGAAGTTGCGCGCAACAACTTGTCTATACTTTTATGAAGGAAAGGTTTGTATTTTTTTTTGTAACTCAAGAACTACTCGATTGATTGATACTACTTAAATTAGTTCGTCCATTAAAAAGCTACGTTATCGTAGAAACATATTGCATATTTTTTATTATTTTTTTAATCCTACGCAACAGCGATATAACATTGGTATATGACCTGGTATCCATTAATAGTGCGGTAGTGGGGGTCGAGGCAGAGCGCGGCGAGCGAGCAGGCCTGCGCGGTGCGGTCCCAGCCGTCGCTGCAGTGCACGCACACGCTCACGCCCGACGACACCGCGCTCGCTATCCACCACGACGTCTCCAGTATCGACCTCGAACACACGCTCATAACACAATACTTACCTTACACACACTTTGTTGCCTAACATGTCACCAATTGTAGCATACTTTTGAATATTTTTTTTTAATAAAAAAGCCCTACACTTGCATCACGCTTTAGGCTATATATTTTAACACCATTAAACTTAGGGGGTAAATATTATGGATAGAATCCTAATATGGGAAAGAGACGGTTGCTGCCAACATCAAGGAAGCAAAGTTGCCATGTTTTGTCATCATGTCATGTCATTTTGATATTTGCAATTGATAATTAGACAAATGTGAACAATAAAAGAAAAATTTTATAATTTTATGCGGATGAAGTCGCATGGGAATAACTAGTTAATATTATAAAGAGGAAACATTTGTATATATTGAAATAACTCAAAAACTACTTAAATAGATTAGTTAGAAATAAAATCTATGAGTAACATAGGCTTTATTATTTGTAATTATTTAATTTCTCGCGGGTGAAGTCGCGAGCAGAAGCTAAATGAGTAACACCTAACTTACTTGATATGCTTCAACCAGCCTGAAGACTCTAAGCCACTCAGGAATGATGACATAGAGGGTGTATTCTGTTCGCAAGCTGAAAGAAAAAGTATAAAATGCACAGAGTAGAAAACGTTGATTTAGCGTTTTTTTTTATTTGTCACAATTACGGGAACTACAAGTAGAGATAAAAAATCACTCACTTTCCACAAGTTTCTGTAGACTTTTCCTCATAACGTGTATATTGCCGATGCCCATAAATTGGAACTTTATGTTTTCGTAAAACGCCTCGTTCTCATATCCCTTGCCCGCGGCGCGGTTCACCATTGCGTTGATCTGTAATGCATTTAACAATTCTCAAATACCAAGCTAGTTTTTTCAAAAATATCTTTGATATTATAAAATAATTGATTTCCTAAACTAAATAATGTACTTTTCCTAAAAATATTACAAAAAGCTTACCCTAGGTCTGGTGTCTACCACATACATGTAACCACAGTTCGGGTTCGCTCGTCGTATCAAATCCAGCATCTGTTCATCTTCCATACATCTGGAAATATAACATTTAATTTCAATATCATCAAACTCAAGACTAAAAGAATTCGAATTTTTATTTTTTATATCTTCCAGAGATACATTGCTTTTTGGGGTAGACAGTATTAAGTGGTATATGAACTAATAAACGCCCGCGATTGCCAACTTCAATTGCTATAAAGAGAATTTCGGAAACTCCAAAGAACAAACGGAACCCTCAGTACTTGAAATTCCCAGATGAGTCAGAACTCTTCCTGTAGCTCTACGTTGCTGCAACGTAGGACCTCTGTCACCGACTCGCGATTTTATAGTATACCTAGCAGAAAATCCGCTTAGAGGCTGACTGCATCGCGCTATCGCAGCCTTGTTGTGGTGCAGGTAGGCGAGCGCGGGCAGACGGCCGCGAGACCTGAAGCTGGCACTGCCCAGCAGCACCGCGGTGCTCGCGCGCGCCGGCACGTACACCTCGCTCGGGTACGTGTCGCACAACTGACAACATAACTCGATTTAAACAGGGGCACGTGTCACAAAATTGCCAACACAGCGGCACATCTGATGTTAACAGAGACACGTGTCTCAGAGTTGCCAACATGAGAATAGTTCTTTTAACTGAGATACGTATTGCATTACCGACAACATAGAGATAGCACATTTGATTTCAATTAGGACACGTGTCATATAGTTACGAATATAACAAACAGAGTAATCATTTTGTTTCAAATTACATACCTCATAATTCCTATTAGCATTGCAAAGCACCCAGTGCTCATTAGGAACATTCATCCGCTGGTACTCCGTCTGGATGTCGAAGAAGTTCCAGCCTGCTGACTTAGGCAAGTCGTCAGGTGTCGACTTATAGTGGAAGCAGTATAACTCCTCTATGTGAACTGAAACCACCAAACACTACGATCAGAAATTCAGATTAACAGTAGTTCAATGAGAATTCTATTAAATCTCTTCCTCTTTAAGGAAACATTCTTTTAGTAGTTTACCTGGTTGACTGAGTCGCAGTAATGTCTGATGCATTTCATGACAGTCCCGTTCCCTCGGGATGACGAAGAAGACTGACTGGAAGGTCTTAGTGCGCACGAGCAGCGGTGATCCTGTCGTGGTGATGGGGAGGCGCTCTACTGACGAGATATGCATAAGGAGTATCTGAGAAAGAGAATCATCGGTCATTCAATGATCCATTAAAATGTGGCTGTATAATTTGAGGGAGATAGAAGACTCACCCATGTCTCCTTCCTCATGTCATGATCGACGAATATGAGATGAGTTGTCGCGAAGTACAACGTGCCTTTTGATGGGTTTCTTACATTGTATTTGTCCAGTAGTTGAACATTCTCCAACTGAAACCAAAAAATTATAAGAGTGATTAAATATTTTCATAAAAACTGTTGATCATGAGCTTCAATCAAATTTGTTAATAAGAAAACACGGAGACAATTCAACTAAATGTTTATTTCCGAAATAAAAATATTTTAAACATTAAACTTCAAAAAAATACAAATATTACTTCTTTTTGCCGTGCTGTGCACCATGTGGCTTCTTTTTATCGGCTCCCCTTCCCGTTTCCTTTAGAGTCTCTTCTGTAATTACCTGCAAAGAATGCACTGTGCGGTCCACTTCAGCAAGTAGTTCATGACAACGCTGATTCATAGAATCCGTAGACTTTGTCACACAAGACTCTAATGCATCGCCAGCTTTCACCAATACAGATGTTATCTTCATAGCTTCCAGTGCCGAGTAATTACCACCTTCATTAAACAATTTCAAATGAGATATGTATTGAACATTTGCGATTCTCGCCTGCTGTACTCGATTTGCGATAAACTTCTTACACAATTCAACTATTGATGACAAACTTTCATCAAACTGTTGCCTATGATGCGACAGTCGTGTCGAGTAACTCAACATTTTTAACCTCTTCACTTCAACGTCAACATCAGGCGATTCAAGCTCTTCCATTCCCGCTTTGATACTGTTTAACCAATGAGAAATCTGGTACAAGCTAGGGTTGTCAAATTTAATAAATTGTGCAACTTCTTGTGGCAAACTAGCAACCAAATTGTTAATGGCTCCTATATGAGATTCTAAACAAGCCTCGTGTCTACGAATCTCCGTCAAACGTAAATCACGCGCCGCCGCTATACGTTCCTTGCGGACTTCAAGCGACATAAGTTTTAGTTCAAGTCGTTTTTTTAAAGGCAAAGATCTTTCACTAAGCCACGAATTAACTTGACGTTCCAGTTTTTCTGAAAGTAAAGGTAAATTGTTCTGAAATGATTCAAGAAATCCATTTCTCCAGTTACTGAGTGCTATCTCTTGGACTTCCGTTTGGAATATTTCTCGCGAGAGAGCTAGCTTCATATCGCAGCCGGAGAGACGTGCTCGTGTGTCTTGAATACTGTCCTCACTACCAGTAATTAGATAAGAAGCAATCGGATGTTTACTAACGAATAAGTCAAATTCCGCTTGCACAGTATTCGATAATGGGATATGGAGATTTACGAGCTCGTTCAGTCGACCGATTTCAGCTTCACTATGGTATATGTACTCGTTTGATTTTTGCTTCAATAATACTAGAAGAACGTCATAAAAAGATTGCAATTTATCGGCATCACTCGCTGTCATTAATTGTTCGAAGGATATATTGAAGGCTTGTTCACTTGCAAGTTCCAATGAGTCGTGCTTACTGATGAGGTCCTCGACAGCGGCGAGAGTAAGTTTCTCAGCGAGGGCAACTCGGATTATGTGCGCGTCCCAAAGGTGACACGATTCATGTAAAAGCGTATACGTATATTTTAGTTCCTTTCCCACAGACGTTAAACTATTCTGTATCATTTTAATGCAATTGCTTACTTCAGGTACATTTTCACCACAATCGATTTTTGAATTGATAGTTGTAAGCGAAAATCGATTTCGACTTATATGTTCTAGTTTCTCATCAAAGGCTTGATTATTGCAGCAAATTTTGTTTTGAATAAATTTACCGTCGCCTATTCGATGGTATAACACATTTACATTTCCTATAAAATCATAGTACAAATCTGCAACTGCTTTTTGATATTCCTCTGTTAGTTTCTTTATAGAAATATTATTTTTCTTAGTATTTATTGAAGGTTGACGGAGTTGTAATTTGTCCGTAGTTTCTTTTGAATGAGCGCTTGTTATTCGCTTTTGAACAATACGAGAACTACTCGAACAGGAAAGTGCGCTATGTTCTCTTCGTATTATTGCTACTCCAAGACACAACTGATTAATTTGTGCACGAGCTTTTCTTTGATTTTCATTCGCTTGTGCACGTAATTGTGTTTCTAATTCAGGATAGGCTGAGCAATTACTAAGTAACTGTTGATTTATTTCATAAATCTTTTCATCAAATTCATTTAGCACTTCCTTTGGAGACGTATGACCAATCGCAACGATACTGTTAAAACTGTCATGGAGTGCCTTCCTCAATCTGTTTGCACGTTCCTTTTCAAATTGTAAGGCTTCTACTTTAAAGTTATTGACCTCTTGCATTCTTTCAGTGATAAGTTTTTGGATACTACTTAAAGCTTCATCACGAGTTTCTATTGATAGCGCACCTTGTATCGAAGAGTACTTTTTAATCACACAATCAATATCATGTTGACTGTGATTTATATGACAGAGTAGTGTCTCTGCTAGTACTCGAATTTTCGCTTCAATGTCCTCGTTAATAATATACATATTATCTTCAAGCTCTTTTATTAGTTTATGATGATCTTCTTCCCGTTTCTTAAGATAATTGGATAGAATAGTTCCACTCCTTCTTGGCGTCCAGTGGTAAGGCAGCACGGCCACAGCCGCAGTGTCATTATCACAACCAGGTAAGTAAGGTTTGACCTTTGGCTTTTGCACACATGAACAGTTATATGCTTTTACGTTTTTGAAACTTATTTTTTTACTCAGCATCGTGAAAATTATAAAATGACATTACAAATGTAAAATTGACAGTTTTGTTTTGACACAAATCATAATGAAAAATATGAAAGGCTTAGACGGTATTTCGATAACATACTCCTTCGATACAATATATGAAAACGAGAATTCGCCCGCGACTTCATCCGCGTGGAATTAAAAACAAAACAAAAGTAGCCTCTGTGTTCTGCGAGATTTTATTCTACATATGTACATATATGCTAAATTTCATCGAAATCCGTTCAGTAGTTTAGGCTACAAACTCCAACATATATTTGTATCATGATTTTAAAGAGTTTTTGACTGTAATTTTCAGAGGTAAAAACCACATCAAAAGATAAGTCAACAGCCTTTGAGATCGGGTGAAGAGGTAAGCGTTACGGAATGTGGGACATCGCACTTACTCTAGTAACGAACGAGTATTCAGTACATGAAAGCCAGCCATCTGTGACACATTTTTATATTTTTATACATGTTTACTTAGATAGTGACACTCAATCAATATTGTATCCCTAAATACTTTCACCTAACAGATTTTTAAACCATGTGGTTTCAAATTAACTGATCTAAAGTTCTGAGTATTAAACGCAAAACATGATCTAAGTATCGAGGGAGATGTAATGATATTAAACGCAAAACATTTGATTCCCTTTTAGTTTAGATTAGTTCCTTTTAGATTATTTAGAGGCCTAATTTAAGTTCCTTTCTCTTTACCACCCTTTTCTTATGAGAGGATGGGAAGAGGAAGTGGATTTGACGATGGAGGAGATGCATAGGAAGAGGAAAAATCCTCTTTATGTGCGTCTCCTTCTCCGTCGGATAAGGGTTGGCGACGCATCTGCAATTGTAGATGTCTATGGGCAGCGGTCGCTTCTCCATTTTGGCGGATTCAGGTGACTGCTTGCTCGTTTGCCATCGTATGTTATAAAAAAAAAATAACATGATCTAAGTATCGAGGGAAATGTAATTATAATGGTGCAAGTATTTATTATGCAGCATATAAGATTTGACACACGAATCTATCCGTGTAGAATTAAAAAAAAACAAAACTAGCCTATATGTTGTTCAGACTATCCTCTACACCTATACCAAATTTCATCGAAATCCGTTCAGCCGTTTTGGCTACACACTCTAACAAACATCCATCCATCTATAGAAACTTTCGCAATTATAACATTAGTATGATTATAGTGAGTTTTGGATCGATCTTAAGGAAAGATTATTGATTTTGGCTGCACAAGAGCAAGACAGTTTGAGATAGTAATAACAGAATTGCACTACGATGCGAATCCTGTTGACCTATTTCATAACAATTTTATTAGAACATTATGAAATACGTAGTCTTCGTAACTTTTAGGTCACAAGAACAGACCACTGGCATAATATCAAAATGTCCGTAACATTTGGAGCTACTGGAAGATGGTACGTTGCCAAACTTTTTTTTTATTAAAATAAGATGGCAAACGAGCACCCGGCAACCTGAATCCGCCAAAATGGCGAAGTGACCGCTGCCCACAAACATCCGCAATTGCAGATGCCTTGCCTACCCTTATCCGACGAAGGAGAAGACGCACATAAAGAGGACATTTCCCCTTCCAATGCGTCACCTCCACCGTCAAATCCACTTCCTCTTCCCATCCTGTCCTTATAAGAAAAGGATGGTAAAGAGAAAGGGACTTAAATTAGGCCTCCGGCACCACACTCATCAAACGAAACACGGAATTGCTTCCATTTCACGCCTGTCTTCTGTGTGGTCGTGGTATTACACCGGGCGTGCCGGCCCTGCAGTGCTAAGATGTTAAAGGGGGCACTACCACTGGTAACTTAGCCCCAATCAAGTTCACCATGGGGGCTACGCTGAAAGATTTGTTCTATATTTCTCTGTATCTATAATCTATACTATTATTTTGTATTCTTGTATGTACTGAAATAATTCAGAAACTGCTAAATCGAATTCAAAAATTACGTTATCAGTGAGTACCATAGGATATATTTTTTTAGTTATTTTTTAATTCATGCGAGCGATGTCGGGGGAATAGCTAGTCTACCTAAAAAGGAAATATCGTAAACTTCTATTATACAAATATCTTTGTACATGTATTATCTTATAATGGATTTTATATATTTAGCAAATAGTAAATAAAAATTAATGATTAACATGAAATTATACAAATTTCCATTCCAACTTAACTTCAAATTAAGTTTTTTATTAAAACTTTATAAAACAAAATTTATTAAAATGTTTTCAATAACAATATAGGTTACCAAACCATATCTAAGTTCTGTTAAGTAATCTTAACTATATGTTTGAATAACATCAAACTATAAACATATCTAAGTTACATCTAAGTTATAAGACAAGCTTAACTTGTATAAATCTGTTTATTGTACTAACAATATCTTA